GTTTAACCATTAAAGTCACCGCACACGACTTGACTGTGTGATCAACGCGATTTCACTGTGCCTGTATGTGTGTTTGTGGTGTGGTGTGTGAGTGTGTTTCTTCTAATTTACTTCCGTTTTGTTTTGTTTTCAGTGTTGGGGGGGACGCAACAGATAACGTTATGTGCGCATGCGGGTTGCTATTTTAGTCCGCAAATTGAGGAATCGCGCGGATGAAAGTTTGAGATGGCAGCGAAAAAAACTCACAAAGGTCTACTAATTACGACATTTAAGAAATGGGAATGCCAGTCTGATTTTTCGTATGAATCGTCCAAAGGGCGTATCACTAAACTCACCTGGGATGTATGCACAGAACACGAGAGCGAGATACGACGAGAGGCACGATTACGAGGCAAGTTGGTCATTAGATTTGTAGGCTAATCGCTATGAAAAATATTATGAAACAGTATTGGTTATTCTATAATTTACTGGTTGTAGCATGGTACCTTTATGAATAAAACATTCGTCACAAGGTGTAGTAATGCTAATGTTAACTGTTGGTCGAACTAATGATAACGTGTGTTAAATTTGAAGGTCGTTTGAAAAAAATGCCGACCGTAAAGTTTTTTTTCGAGGTAGAAATTCTCAGTCCGCCGGGTTACCGGAAACACACTACTTTTTTTTCTACGCCGAAATAAATTCTTTTTCAGTTGATACCAATCAGATGAAAATCCTGTGACTTTCCCCAATTTCCGATCGGGACAACCCCAATTAAGAGTTATTTTAAGAGTCTGCTCATGTAAAAGTGCATTAATTGGGGCTGAAACAGTTCATCGAATCACTTCATCATTCGCTGACAAAAAAAAAAAAAATCGCAGTAGTTAAATTTCTTTATATCTTTTCAAACAAAATAGAAATGGCTACATGATTATTTTAATCAGTAATCTGTTATTTTTTTAAATTAATCTATGAATTGGATAAACTTATTTAATTTTATTACTTCATTAAAAAACAGTAGATTATTTCATACAGCGCGTGGACACTGCACCAACATACATTGATTATGATTCAGTTACTAATTTGGTCCATGAAGTTAGTAAATAGGCAAGGATGTTGACAATTGTTTTCCAAAGCAAATGTTTGCAAATGTCTTGATGAAACAGAAAGAATCAGTATGCCATCACGGAGGACAACATAAAACAGAGAACATTTACTGTTGAGAGGCTGAAATTCCAAAGATGTGATCAATGTTAATTAATTGTTGCACCTAGAAACAGGGTGGAACAAAAACAACAAAAAAAAAAAGATATCTTCCACCAAAAGATCATTAATACGGCACAGGGGCCTCATTTACAACGTGTGCTAAGCCTCCACACAGTGTCAAACTGCAGTTTTGGTTAGAAACTAAATTCAAATGGGCCCTGAAGAGAGCTCGAATGTCTGCGGGTGTATAAACTGACCTGAATGTTGAGGTTTATTTTATTTTATTAACTGGTGTTAGCTATACTTATTACGTACCCAATACTAGCAAGCCCCCATCTAGATCTTTTTTTGAAGGGGGAACACCCCCCCCGTCTAAAACTGTGGTAAAATAAAGGACTTAGACACACGGTTAACCCATCAAATTGAATTCTAGTTGCCAAAATATTTTTTGCCGCGTTTGTTCACCATAATAAGAGCAAAAATCTTAGAAGCGTATCTCAGATTGATGCAATGTAATTGAACGCCGCTATAACCGAGAACTTTTAGACAAATACCCCTGTGGCAGTGTCATCGATCCAATTTTAATTTATCAAAGTGAGAGGCTCCCATGAGCGGGTAAACCAATGTGCCCAAGCCCAAAGAGACAGGCAGATGTGAACACTTAGAGCTATTTTGCGTCGAGCGAGAAGTCCAGCAGCGTCCACATTCGAACAGTTAGCAGCGTGTTTCACGCGCCATTCATTCGTTAACTCGTTAAAACCGGCCTCTTATATGGCTCACCGTTTAGCATTTACGAAGCTAGAACTGCGCGTCAAGGAAAGAGTCAGTTTGACCGTTTCGCTGCTCGATAAAAAACGAACAAAAATTGGCGACCATTTGTGAGTGAATTCCTGCCACGGCGACCAACTAGCCACGTTACGTGCTAAGCTAAGTGGCCGGTGGAGTAGTTAATGTGGAGGGATAAATAGTTCAAGTAAAATTGTCAACTCAGTCGTTTAAAAGTTACCTAGATCGAAGCAACTCGCGGTATGGTCTTTTTCATTTGGGGTTGTTTGGTGGTTTATAACCCACAACACGGCTAATGATTAGCTGGCCGTGACAAAGCGCTGGTGAGGGGGCTTTGTTCTACCGACGAACTCCGCGTCACCAAGTAGAGATGTAAGATATCTCACCGGGTACCCTGGCCCAGGCATTGGCGAGCGGTACATGTGGTTCTGCGCGGCCGGCGACGAACCCATTCTTCCAGAGGGCGTACCAGGGCCCATGCCTGGCCCCGCGCCCGGTACCGGGGGTCCGGGACCCATTACGCCGCCTCCGCCACCAGTGGGTGCCGACTGAAAGCCCCCTCTGGCCGCCATCTCTGCAACGACTGTGTGGCTGCCGGTGGAGCCACGCAACGAGATATCGCGAGAGCGAGTGAGAACTGGGGTTTCAAGTGGTTACAGCGCTCAAGGATGGATGTTTGCGGTACTGCAGCGACTCCAATGTTAAATCACCATAATCGGCGTCAGTTTACTGAAACATTCTGCATTCTTTCTTGTGTCCGTCCCTCGCTTTGTACGTCCCCCCGAAACCCCCTTCTGACCCACGTCTTTGTCTTTCTTTTTTCATTGCATCCTGCCGTCTAACACCTTTATTCATGCATTCTTAAAACCCTTCTGTCATTTTATTACATTTACATTTGTTTCTCTTCTCGTCTCTGTCCTTCCTGCCTCCCTTTTTATCCATGCATCCTTCAAATCCAGTCTTCTACTTTTACTTCCTTCCTCCCTTCCTTCTGTGGCTTCAACCTACTTTCTCGCCTTCCTTCCACCTCAGACCTACTTTAATCTTTTCTCCCTTCCTTTTATCTGTCATTCCCTCCTTCCTTCCCTACTTATGTTTTCCTCTCTTTGTTCCAACCTTTATTTCTTCCCTATTTCCCGCCCTCCCTTCAGACCTGTTTTAAAGCAGGCATGTGTTCCTTCTTGACCCCTTTACTTTTTCCCTTCCTGCCTTCTTTCACTTTTTATCCATGCCATCTTCACATTTTCCTTCCTTCCTTCCTTCCTTCCTTCCTTCCTTCCTTCCTTCCTTCCTTCCTTCCTTCCTTCCTTCCTTCCTTCCTACCTACTCTCTGCCTTCGTCCCGTTCGTCCTGTCTTCAACCTACTTCTCTACTGCCTTCCTCCTAACTTACATTTCTGTCTTCTTTCCTTTCCTTCTCCTTCCCTCATACAAGCTGTTTATTGATGCACCCTTACGTCCTTTGTTTAAACCTACTGCTTTCTTCCATTCTTTTTTCCTTGCATGGCTTATGCTTACTTTCTGACTTTCTTCCATGCCTCCTTCCTTGCACCTCAGTTCCGCTTCTTTCTTTCCTTCCATTCTGACTTTATTCCTTCCTTTGTTCCATGGCTTAAACTTACTTTCATGTCATGCTTATCTCCTTCATTGTAAGCTTGCATTTTCCTCTGTCTGGCCTCCTCCCTTCATCCACCTTTCTTTCCCCTCAGACTCAGCTTTTTATTTCGTATCCTTCTCTCCTTTGGATAGAATCCACCTTCTTTGTTCCTGAAAAAATTATTTCTCAAATTATTTGCCTTTTTGCAAAACTGGTAAAAAAAAA